CAGTATTTCAACTACTGCTGGTTCAATGCCAAGGAATTATAATTACATTACAAACAAAACAATGGGAGGCAGTGCTGCTCATGCGGCAGAAGAGAGATGGTTTGCCTGCAGTGGACATGGTGGGAAAGAGAAACTAGCTTGCCCACACTGTGCACACCACCAAGGAAGAGCTGCACTGCCTGTGCAATGGAGGGGAACCAGGTTGCCGGTATGGTAGAGAAGACCCAGGCTGCTCAGACAGCTGGGGGAGGAAATGATGCTGCACGGCCTGGGGCAGATGCATAACTGCCAACCAGGGGGGAAGGGGGGCGGCACAACTCCACGCTGCTGGGCCTTACCTCTGACCAGGCTGCAGCCCTGTGTCTTGCAATCAACACAGAAATCAACACAGCCTACAGATTGGGAAAAAGAGGGAATGGGTGGGGTGGGCACCAGCAGGGTATGCAGCCTAGGAGCCTACAGCTGTGCAAGACCCTACTGTCCAGAAGTTGGTCAGCCCTGTATCAATGGGAATAAGAATCGGTTAACTGACAAATATCAAAAAGCAATCCATAATGGTAGACTATCAAAAAAGGGATGTTTTTCTATTGAGACTGTGGGAACTGTTAACTAGGTCTGGCACTATTACACGCTTCCAAAAGACACAGAATTAAATGTCATTGTAAAATGTAAGCATACAAACACTGAGAAAATGGTAAACTACAAGGACAGGAAAGTCAAAGTGTGACCTGAAACACTTGGTAACCCTCACCCAATCAAACAAAATGTATATGAACATCCAAATGCAGTTCTACAAATAAGAAAAATATATGCAGGCTAGTCTTCCAGAACAGTCAGGGGTGCGCACTAGATCCTGAAGACAAAAGTTCAATGAATCATTGTGGATAAAGACACTCAACAGGCTCTCCTGATGCAATGCTGCAGCGTAAGAAGAGCAATGCAATACTTAGATATATAAACAATGAGTACAAATGTTGGCGAGACGAATGACAGAATGCTGCACTAGTTGTTTTACCTATATTTTCAAAATAATGTTGGAAAATAGGAGGGAGCAAAAAGGTAACAGAAAAGTTAAAGGGTTGGAAAATGTGTTAGAGCAAGATACGAACAAATGACTCTGATTAATTTATTAAACAAGACAAGCACTGCAGTGAAAATAGAACATTTACAGGGAAATACTAGTTAGTGATTCTTCAATTTAGGAAAGAAAAAACAAATCAATAGTAGAACATGAAGACAAATCAAATGAAGTATAGTACAGCACACACATTTAATGACTGGTGATTATTAATCAGATTCTCCATCTGCTGGAGCCTTCCACTGAAGATAACATGACTGTCTGGAAAAGACGCTTTAGAAAGTGACTCTGCTTAGCTCCAGGGTATGGGTGGAATTAATTACACGGGGCATGCAGAAGGTCAGACACAAGGACCTAATGTTACCTTCTGGCTTTAAACTGCAGGAAGGTATGAAAGTTTGATTATTATGATATGTCATTTCAAATATTTGAACTCCCACGATTTTGCAACTTAAAAAATACAAGACCACTCAGGATTAGACAGGAATGAAAGAGAGCAGCTTAGATGCCACAAGGGCTCAGAGGCAATGTTTTGTCAGGCAGCTCAGCCTGGGTTTCATCAGGGAGGATGGCAGACACACACACAGAAAGGCCAGGACAAAAGTCAGAGATCACTTCATCCCTCTATTCACAAAAGCCAGCATTTTCTGTACCTGCATGAAATAATGAGAAGCTTCCTGAGTTTCACTTTCAGCTATCACAGGGTAATAAACATGAACAGTTTGAATTTTATTAGTAGATGACAAAAGTCATGAACCAAAACGACAACAAAAAGCCAGAAGGAAAATACAGAGTGCCCGAGTGAGGGACTAACTTAAGAGGGATGGGGGCGTGGAGGGGAACACAACTAGGTTACAGAAGATACAATATTAGCCAACTAAGCCTGGGGGTGGGGGAGGGTGGTGGCAACGCTGAGAGAGAAAGAAGACAGATGCACACAAACTCGTACAATGGTCCACAATGAGGGAGGGGATAGGTTGGAGGAAGTTTCTCAGTCTGTGTAGTCTCATCATGGGGGTCCTCTTCAGGTGGAGTGGAGCAGTCACCTACTCCCTAATAAATCCTCCTCTTCCCTCCCACCCACCTGCCCCTCTAACTCACTTCAAACTGAACAGTTTGCCCATATCCTCAGGAGGACGTGCTAAATGCTGAATGTTCACCATGCTGTCACAATTTTTACCAAAGCTACTTATAAAAATATTTATTTGTCCATACAACAGAATGTGGTTCTTTTAGGTAATGCTCGTCTTACGAAACTAATATTATTATTAAATGTAATTTTCAAAATGAGTAATCAAGAAACTAGTAGTTTCACTTTTGTGTCTAGTCAAGTTGCTGTTTTGTGACTAAACAACATCCAAGTTGAAGATGGCACAAAGGAATGCTTTAAAAAGTTCTCTCTTGCTCCTCCCCCATTAATAAAAACCCAGCAGCATTCAGATGGAATTTTATTAAAGTATTTAAGTATAGTTGACCCTCAGTATTTGCATTCTTCCAAGACAGAAGTGGCAGTTTAAAAAAATAACAGAGTTTGCAAATAGCTTGATAATGTTTAAAAGAAAAAGTTGAGAGAGAGAGAAAAACAAATTCACAAGTTGCTTCCCTCCTATAACCAACAGAAATGGATTATAATCTTATACTATATGCAGGTACTTCTTACAAACAAAGTGATTTTGTCTGAATTCCAAGCCTCCCAACATCCTAATAGAATTCCTGTATTTTCAAAGTTATTTACAATATGAAGTTGTAATTTATACAGTGACACTGAGTAAGCAAAGTCTTGTTCTTACTATGAAAAGTTATCACTGTAACTTACAAGTACATGTCACTACGCCACCCAGCCAGCTTGTAGTTTTGCCACATCTAGTTCTTAAGTTACCTTTTCTTCCTTGTTCCTTCTAAATGAAAGATTTAAACCAACAATTGAAAAGACTGTTGGATCAGATTGTTGAACAACTGAACGGTTGAACAACTGAGACCGTTTATCATATTGTAAATAACAGTTGTAGGAGGTAAAGCAGTGAAAGACTTTACACAAACGTCTATTAAAAGAAAAGTAAACATACAGAAAAAGATAAGACTTTTCTCCCTTATTAGTATTCCTAGTTCAGTTTAAAGCACGTCTGAAGCTTTCTGGATGTGGGTATTAAAATCATTTAAAAAAATTAAAGCAAAGACTACCAATATAACCCTTTGTAGTGTTAGAGTACAGTTGTATTGTAACAGACAAGATTCCTTGGGTGAATTTGATATCTTTTATTAGACCAACCCAAATGGTTGGAGAATAGTTATAACTTGCCTATGTCCTTAGACCAACACGGCTACAACCTAAACCCCTGTTGTACTGTAACTTCACTCATACAGTTCCTGGGGACTCCCAAAACAGCCAATTTCCTATGCCAATTTTAAATTGCAACAGAGTTGATAAGGACAGGTCAGAGTCTGATTTCTCAATGTTTATTTTGCAGGTTCCCAATTCAAATTGTTATTTTTGTATTTCATACCCATATTTGCAGTAATTCACAGCCAGAGCTCTTTTGGAGAAGGACTGTAAGAGGCTACTTTATCAACACCTTTCTGGATACATGCAATTAAATTGGATAAGAGAAAGCTTGTATTAAAGCTGTTCAGTGATGAAAATGCCTCAGTCTACCCTCCAAGAAGCCAGAGGCACCAACACATGCAGAAAAGCTGGATATAATTCCATAGCAGAGGCACAGGCGGCTCTCCTCACATGCCCTGCCATAAGAACATGAAAAATAAATAAAGATCATTCAAGACAACTCTCTTGAAACAACGTACACCATGTCAGCTTCCCTGATGCAGGCTCTAGGCAGATTCTTTCAGAGGATCTGACGTGAGCTTAGGCTCACTAAAGCTTGTGCTATATATAATCTCCTTGGGATACTCCATAAGGTGGCAAATCTGCCCTGCCTCCAGCTTGCCTGATGTCTGGGTTTGGCGTTGGTGCCCAGGAATCCAGCTCCGCTGCTAACTGGCTCCATGCCTAAAGCTGCCAAAACCTCCACTTCAGAAATTACATATTCTCCGTCCTTCTGCTCCTTCCAATGTAAAGTGCGCACCACTTTACACCATGCACCGAGTCAGCGAAGCTCAACCAAGGCACCTCAGCGCTCTGGGGTGCTGCGAGACCCTTTCGGGGTGCCACAGGATGCCACACAACGTCAGTACCATTAGGTGTGCAAACATGGTTCACAAGAGAAACCCCACGATAAGAACCCACAGCATTAAAAACCATTCTGCCCTGCAGGGTCTTTCTGAGCTCTTAACAACAGAGACGTCAAGTCACGCAGAAGCAGGGCCGGAAGGGACCTTCAGAGCTCGTCCAGTCCAGCCCCTGCCCCACGCAGGATCACCCCTATCCAAACCATAATCTAAACCCTGCCTAAGCCGACCACCAGCCCTGACACAAAACACCCGAGCCTGCCCCAGATAAAGCAGGAGTGCCGCTGAAGCCAGCGTCCTGTTTCTGTGAGATGTTGTTGACATCGCTCAACAAATCCCGCAAAGGAAAGCAAAACCCCCTCAGCCCGCACCAACCTGACCATAGTGTAAAAATTTCTCCCTGGCATGAAATGTGGCGACCAGACTGACCCCGAGCAGAGGGGCAAGGCCCTCCAGCCAGAAACCTCCGGGTTTGGTGCCAGCAGCAGCCAACACCCAGCGCCTCTGAGGCAGACTCAGCCCCTCAGACACGGGGAGCAGGCCAGCGGGGGCAGCCCCCGTAGCAGAAGGCAGACCCCGACACCGCCCCGGCCAGGGCCCGCACCGCCTCTGCCGGCAGGGGCAAGCCCACAGCTTCCCTGGGCAGCGGCTCCACGGCAGCAGCAGGAGCCCGCGGCCCGGCGGGAGCTGCCTCCTTGCCGCCTCGGGGGGTCCCTCGGCCCGACCCAGCACTCACGGCCTGTGCAGCGGCTCCTCGGGGACGGCAGCCGGGCCCTGCTGCTGCTGGAAGGAGCGCAGCGACTCGAAGGCCTTCATCAGCTTCTCCATGGTGGCCATGGCGCCGCGAGGAACGGGCGAGACGCTGCAGAGGCCACGATCGCTCCGGGCTACCTCGCCGCCATCTTGGCCACGTACCGTCGTGCCCCGCGCGGAGGCGCTCACGAGGGCAACGGGTGGAGGGGGGGAGTGACAGCCTCATCCGCCAATCAGAGACGAAGATCGAGGACCCGGGATTCGCCCTCCCCGCCACTAGCAGGGTAGGGAGGGAAATGGCAAGCTTGGTTGAGAGCTGCAGTGACTAACGCAGCCACGCTCCCTCCGGGCGCTCCGCCCACTTGGCTCTGCTAGTGGGCGGGTCCTAGCGCCCTCGGGTACCCGGCACGCGGGCGCCCTCTGCTGGCTATGCGGTGCCGTTGCTTCGTGCCCGGCGGCTGTGCCAGGCGGAGGGGAGAGGGGGGACCTGATTCATAGCAGCCCCCACAGCTCCTAGAAAGGAGACTGGCACGTTGGGTGTGCCTCCGAGCTGCCCCCGTCGCAGTGGGGTAGGGCATGGGGGTGTCCCGGGGTGTGTGAGCTCGTGTTTTATCCAGAGAAGCCAGAGCAAGTTCCTCTGAATATCTAGGTTGTAGCTGGCTTGGTCTGGAGGCAAAAGCAATCAGGACTTGTGGTAGAGGAGATCTCTTTTATTAGAGCAACTAGACTTTTACCACTGCCCCCCAAAAGCTTGCAATTAAATCATGTTTTTTGCAAACATCTAAAAGATTTCACCTGTACCACGGTCCTGATTGCTTTTCCCTCGGAAGTAGACACCAGCGCACTGGGGCGTTAGCAGTCAGGCAGCGTCAAGGAGAGCAGGGACGTGCAGAGAGAAACCCGGCTCACTGCGCGGTGCCAGGTCCCAGTGTTGGCTACAAATGTCCAACTCGGGATCCTTAGAATTCTGGTTTATTAGGCGGATTGAAACACTGTAATGAAGTCAAATCATAAACCTTGGGGCTGGTGCCCACACACACACACATGCACACCCCCACAGTAGCAAGCTACGAGAGTCAGGTATACCTATCCTACAGGCACTGGAGTCTGCCGTTGAGGCTTCTTCCAGCGTGGTGTTATCTTCCAGAAGGGGGTCGCCGTCTGGTCCTTCTGGCTGGACAGGTCGGGTGCTGGTCAAGTTGGAGATCAAGAGGGCGCCCCGAAGGGTCAATTTTCACTGCTTTTTATCTGTCCTTGGCAGACTTTGGTGACTCCCCGGTTTTCAGGTTTGCCCAATCCAGGGGTCGTTGACCCTCGTGGGGCTTCCTCCTCGGTGGCTACTGGATGGCATCTTGCAGCCCCCGGGGGTGTTAATAGGGCTCTGGGAGCGGTCGATCTAGAGATATTCATCCCAAAAGTTGGTCCCCGGCGTTGATTAACTCAGACCAGGGCTTCTAGCCCTTGAACAGTGATGTTTAGAGATTTCCCGGTTGTTACATTGTCTTCTATTGATTTCTTCCATTGGTTGATCTGCGGTTTCCCTAGGTGTTAATTGCTGTCTGCTACTGTGTTATGCATTCAGTCACTGATTCACTCGCTCTTTCAGGGGCCCGCGTGATACAGGGAAGCGACAGTTTGACTCCTGCCCTTGTTAGCATTGTTACTAAAGACATTTATAGTTGAAAGTTGAAAGGTGAGGAGTATAAAATATAAGCTACAAGAGTAATGCCATGGCACACAAATAGATAAAAATACCAAAATACAAGGGGAGATACAAAATGCACACATACAAATTTTAAAACACAATTCCTTATCTTAAAGTGAAAGAAAGAGGAAGGAAGAAAAGGTAGAAGAGGAAAAACATATTCTAAGAGGGGAGAGCAAATGCAGGCAAGAGGAAAAGGGGGCTTTCTGCTACACCAGGGCCCCCAGGGTGTGAGGCAAGCTCCACGCTCGCCCACCTCTGCCTTTGTCTGGGGGAGTCTTATACCCTTCAGGTTCAAGTGTCTGAATTCCCACTCCTCCTTCTAAGATAAGGAGCTCTTGACCTATTCAGTAGGGAGTAAGGAAACAGAGTCATGATTCGTGACCATTGTTCTTTCCTAGGGTCATGACTTACTAGCATCAGGTGCCATCGCTGGCCTGGGTATCTCGACTCCCTTGAAACTGTGCCTCACAATTCACTGCTCTTGATTTGCTTCTCTCATTCAGATCAAGCTATTTCTAGGATCAGAGCATCCGGGAGGTGGAACGTAGTGACACACCCAGCACAGCAAAAAAGGGTGTTCAGGACTCCCCCAGAGAAGTGAAGGCAGTTACCCAGGGGTGGGACGGCACAGAGCATCAAACCTCCAAGGGGGACAAGCTGAAGTAACCCAAGTGAGAGAACCAACCAGACTGCTGGGGTGCCACTTACAGCCTCTGACAAGCACATCCCCACTTCACCAGCCCTGCGGGGGTGTTTACTGCATACATGTACAAAGAATATACATTTGAAACTCAACATGCAAATCCATTTCTAAACCCATTTACTTAAAACTTGTGTGTAAAAAAATGCACACACAACTAATGCACAGACCCTCCGCAACAAGTCAACAGGATCACTGGGCTTCAGTTGCCCATGTCAAGAGACACCCTGAAGTAGAAGTCCAATGGAGCTCTCCCCCAGCCTACCCCTCCTTTCATTTTTATGCCCATTTTCAGTAGGCCTGGCTTTCATGCTTTCTTAAAAGCAAGGGCTGGGTACACCCCACTCATTATGTTTGGACCAGCAGAGCAGAGCAGATGGGCATTGCCAAAGCAATAATCATGCCCTCTCCTGTGGGACATGGCAGCAGCCAAGCAGTATCTCCTGCCCTTTGAAGCAGAAGACCAGACTGTACTTCTCACTCACAGACATTGTACAAAGCAAGGCAAAGACACATTTTTGTCAGGGGAAGGGGTATATGCAATTAAACTAAAAAGCTCAGCTCAGTAATGTAGGATGTTGAAGGGATGCTTATCATTTCCCTTGAGCGACAGAGCTAACGATATATAAACTCATAAAAACAAGTCCTAAAAGTAGCTTTTTCCTTGGAATGGACAAAGGCTGGTATTGGATGTATTAATCAAGAGATCTTCGGAAGCCACTATCAGGCCGAAGTATGTATTTCATACATTATACACACAGTGCAAATTATACTTGCCAAATACTGCTGTACTATCAGTACTCAGTATAGTTTTACAGAACAGATTATACCCATTTCCAGCAACTGCACTTAATACACATTTGCTTGCCAACCGCTATTGCTGCTTGGTTCTTTCTTTATCAAAATGGAAAAGCCAAACACCTCCCTACTCTTCCTTTCTCCCTATGCATTTATTGCAGAACAAAGGCATTGACCAGGGTAAATGGAGACATTTTTACAGGAAGCTATGCTGAAATTTGGCAACGCATCATCAATTCTTGTCAAAGTGAATAATTTAATCTGGAAGAGGTCCCATTTTTTCCTGTTTTCCAGTCCCTTGTTTTGAGGCAGGTGTAGGTCAAAGTCAAACTAAATTTATTTTGTACCTATATTACTGCACTAAATACCAGCATGATGTTTTGTGTTTATATGGACTTCCTCTTTACTTGTATAGCATTCACTGAATTAGAATAACCTCTTCATATCTTGTCCTATTTGACCATAAAACATGTTCCAAATACTTTGATTTCCCAGAAGGAAGGACTCCTCTCTCATGGCTGACGTGCCACATCCCAGGGTATTTTCTTCTGCTATTCAAAATTAATTACTGCTAAATTTATAGCTTACTACTGTAAAGCTGTTTTTTAAGTCAATATGTCTGTCAGTGCCCATCCAATTAAAAAAAAATCAATGTGGTATTGCAATGAATTTTCCATACAGTTACAACTGCTGGCTTTAAAACTGGTGCTAGAATATGTTTAATCGCGACTCCCCCATTATACAAGTTAGATTAGTTAAAACAAGGAAGGAATATTTTCCCTGTGTAATTAAAAACTCTGGCAACTCAGGGACATGTTTTTCGAAAAGTAGCAAAGGAACAAATGTGACCTATTTAGTGCAAAAGTAACTGCACAGTAAATCCTACACTTCTGTGTTCTTACTTCTGTACATCCTGTTTTCACATCACTGATTTCTGTTTATTGAATAAGTGCTGTGCCAGCTGTTGTCATTCGTTTGGAGAAAAGCTGCAGCATAAGCTCCAATTACTAACACAAGATTTTTTTAAATAGATTTTGGTTCCATACAAATTCAGCTTTGCTGTCTTCCCTGACATGGATGCTCCAGAGTATCCCCTCAACTATGGAAAATGTTTTATTTAGTCAAGCCTATATTTGATTATTTTAAGTTAAATAAAAGAAGTATCAGAGTTCCTTGTAGGGCTAGGTCCAACTTCAATCCTGACAAGTTAGACTCCCTAATACACAGTTTGTAGGTACATAGCCTCTAGAACAGAATGCAGTTAGGTGCCTGGATTCCCTGCACAGAGAAAGTTAAGACACATCAAGGTGGGATTTGAGGCAACTGCCTAGAGCTAGCCAATAAAAACGCTAAGTACTGGCCTAAGGCTGAACTCCCATCCCCTTCTATCATTCAGGCAAAGGATGGAATTGAGCAAAGGTTCCACTTGCTTGAAACCTAGAGCCCAAATTCCTCTCCAAAGGACAGGTGCCTATATCTGTTCCCTGAAGGCTGCCAGAATCTCTCTTGCCCTTGCTGTGTGCCTTCTTTTCTGCATAGTAGTAGAGCTGCAACGGGAAAGATGGAGGTCTTTTGCACCAGAGCAGGCTGCTGCGTCTGCTGGGCTTCAGCACTCAAACTATTCTATAGCCTAGGCCCTAGTAGTTAGTCATTCTTCTGGGACATGGGAAAAGTAGGTGTGAACCCTTCAGGCTGAACAGGGCCTAGAACTCAGGTCCCTCACTTCCTGAGAAAGTTCAAATCATTAGTATCTAAGACAGGGCTGTCCAGCTTTTGAGCAGCTGCAGGATAGGAGGTGCTGCACACCATCTGAGCCCCCCGACACAAGCTGTGCAGAATACCCAGGACCTTCATCACACAGGCCCCCTCCATGGGCTCCTACAGGCTACACCCCGCTGAGGGACAGGAAGCAGAAGCCATTGGAAGGGGAGCCAGGTGCCCCCAACAGACACAGAAAG